TTTCTGTCTTTCGTCAAAATTTGAAACCTGTTTTAAGCCTCGTCTAAGTCGACTGTTTTCCGTCACCTTTGTTCATTATATATATGGCTCTCTGGTACTTACTATGAATCAGTCGATGAAAAGATAGAAAAGATGCGAATAAAAAAGAAAGAGATCAACAAAAGTAGAGCTATGATCATGTTTTTGAAGTTAAAGAATCATGCTCCTTAAACAAATAGCTGTACTACTGGATTTTTCAAGGTTTTAGATTTGGGTGGCATTTTCTGCCTCTTTCTTAGTGTCAGCCGAAAAAGCCTGAATTATTTATATTATATTAATTGTAATTCAATTGATTTGTTTCAGGTCTAATTATTGCTTACATTGTCTGAGTTCTCATGAAATTTAGACAATAAAATAATCAGCAAAAATCGATAATATTATCCAACTTTCGGTAACATTGGGACATTTTTCGAAGTTCTACAGAACCACCAATTTATTACACTTATTCAATAGCTTTAATATGACAACACTTATTTGTATTTTGAGATGTATCATCAATACAAAAGTTTTTTCTTCTAATAATAATCTAGATGCTATATGTCGTATGAAGCTAAAAATATCAGTTAGCTTTCAGTTTTGTCTGCTCAAATACCATAGTAACATATCATAAACTTTAGGGAGGTTTTAGAGAACCACAATAGTTTTGAGAATTTCGGATGACATTCTTAGCAGTTTAAAAGTTTGAAAATAATGTTGACATCAGTATTTTAAGATGTTCAACTCAATGCTCTGAACACTAGACATATTTTAATGTAAATATACTATTATAGGCGCCAGAATTTAAAATCTTTTTTTAGCATCGTTTTAACTTATCTAACTACGAATTTCTTGATCGATTTTCGTAGAGTCCTCCTCTAAAAATTTTATATCACATTCGTTTGATCTCAAGTCAATGTTTATTATAGATTATGACTTGAATACTATATTTCGATACAATGATGCATGAATCAATACTCTCGATTGATACTAGAAAAGAGTGCAATTAATGTACCTTTTCAATCTTAACACTGTCTGCACTTTCGTAATAAAAAAGAGGCATTGCTTGTTTTGAATAAGTATCTACACGTATCTGCTCATTTAGCAATCTTTCTCAAAGACTTGTGAGATAAGAGGTGTCTATCATGAATCTAGTATGTAAGTATTATAGAATTTACAAGGCGTAGCTCGAGTATAGATTTATTAACAATTCGAACTTCCAACCAGTGAACAATCTGAATAATCAACTATGATATCCCTTAACAGATATTCATATCATTGACACTTGAATTGGAAAGCAAGCCTTTGATCCTCAAAAAAAGAGATATAATTAACAAGGAAAGCACTCAATCAATCGATTCATATCAAGTTTAATACATAATTAATTATCGGATTGTAATATGAGTTCTAAAATTTTTTTTGTTTTTTAGGTAAACGTAAGGCTTTATATCCGGTCACAAAATATAAAGCCTTACATTTATCTAAAAAACAAAAAAAATTCAGAACATATGTTACAACCCAAAATACTGAACCCATCACTCTAATTAGGGTGTAACTGTGGGTGTGAAAGAAAAAAAATACTCAAACTTACATCCAGACACAGATTTACACAGCCATAATCGCAGTCACAGGCACACTCACCCTATGCACTTCGATACCCATACCGAACAAATCGAAAAAAGGTACCAAAGGCAAAGATGCTACAGCATGCAAGAACACCCAAAAACTTATGAATACTACAGTGATTCAAGGAATCCAAGAAACTGAAGGATGCTAAGGAGCTCAAGAATACCATGGAAGCTAAGAGTACCAAGGAATGCAAGCATATCACGGGATTCAAGAACAAAAACGAATCGAAAAATACCAAGGACTCCAAGAGTATCAGGGAATGTATGGATATCGAAGAACCCAATATTCGGAATGAATGCAAGGATACGAAGAAATCTAAAGATCCAAAAGCATCTAAGTATACCAAGGGAATCAACGACACGAACGAATCAAAAGAAATCAAGGAATATAAGGATACCAAGGAAGCCATAAAATCCATAGGATTGAAGCATCTTCAGGAATAGAAGTTGAGACAATTCAAGAAATTCATGGAAGTGGAAAAATATGGGGGCATCGAAGGAATTTAAGAAGATTCTCAAGAAGTCTTGAGAATCTTTGGAACCCAAAGAACTCAAAGAGTCCGATGAATCTGAAGAATCGAACAAAATTGAAGAAGTTACGAGCCTTGAGAAGTTTAAGAAGTCTAACAAGATAAAGCAGCCCAAGGAATCCATGGGTTCCAAGCAACTCAACAGATGCAAGGAATCTGAAGAAATGAAGAACGTCAAGAAAGTCAAAGAATACTCTGAGCGAAAATATTACAAACGAGACAAGAAATCGATGGCAATTGTGAAAACTAAGGGAACCTCAGAGCCTAAAAGAATACAAAAGGCTCCAAGCAATAAAAGAAGGTGATCAATCCAGGGCATTCAAGGAGCCCATGGAACTCTATATATCTGCGCATCACAGCGGAATGTTTGGTACTCAAGGCATCTGTGGAAGCGAAGGAAGTCGAAGAATGCAAGAGAATTGAGAAGATCATAGTGTCACTGGAAATCACGAAATTTAGGAAAAGCATGAAATCGCAGGACTGGGAAAAATCCACGATATGCTGAACATTCATGGGGATCAAACCATCAATGGAATCCAATAGTGCAGGGAATTACTGGGACTCAACCGAAATATGGAGGACCGCATTCGAGATATTATATGAACTGTAAGAATGCGAGGCAATGAAGGAATGCAAAAAACTCAAGCAATTGAAGTAAACCATGGAGTTCACGTAGTCCTATGCCGAAATCCAAAAACCTCAAGTAGTCCATGGAAACCAACGAGCTCAGGGTGTGGGTGTTGTTATTATCCAGAGATACTTTCACAGCCACACCCACACACCGACACCCACACCCACCCAGTCAAAAGTGATTACATATTGAGAGATAACATGAAAAAATGAATTGACAGACATGTGGTTCTAAGTTTTGCATTGAACCTTTCTGTTTTCGATGAAAAGTTCAGCTGATGTATTCCACACAGTACAGTCAAAAAAATAAATTTAACTGAAATGACATTTTTCTTGTTCAGTGCTTTCTTCTATTGTCTTCTAGTAACGCTTTATAAGTTCAAAACTTGTTTTTTCAGTATACAAATGATTTTGTAACTGGCTTAATTCTTTTAACTGTAATCTAAGGAGTACCTCAACGGCAGTAATCTTTCGAAACACATATAGGTTGACTAAGTTTTTCGTAGTAGTTTCCAGTATGTTATTGATATTGGCTGATAGCGTACCCTTTCTCAACGAAGTTTGTAGAAAAATCAATCAAAATACGGAAAAAGGCGTCTAAACGGAATTTAAGGTTTCTCATTTAACGAAGTTGACCTTTAAAGCCATTTAAACTGTTGTAGTTTTTTCTCTATCTTCTTTAAAGCTGCTGGAAACCATCAAAAGCTCAAGTTGTTTTTTTCTTATCTAGAGATATTAAAAAAACAGGCAACACAGCTGATAGCATGAGCATATGACTCTGATGCTCGTTTGGAACAATATTTATATCAGTGCTTAGCAAAATTTCGACTGCTCAAGCTGAAATTTTCAGCAAATATGAACTGTAGCATGAACAATCTATTGAAGTAGTTTTCAGTTCGAAGTGTCTTGCTATGGAAAAATATGCACAACTCACTGTTGTATTTATAAATCACCAATTTATGATGCGAAAAGGTATTTGATGAATGCTTTAGAAATGACTTTATTTTGTTTTCTCAACTATAGGAAGGATGATATGAAATAATATATGATTTGTACTTATGCATGTTTGCATGTATGTTTCTAATCACTTGTTCACATATATTACTGAAACATCAGACCAACTATTTTAGATGATTACATGGCGCTGTACTTCCATTCAATCAAGTGTTTTCGATATCTAGCTCTCGTTTAATCAGATTTCTCGAGCGTGTGGGTACGCGGCATGATTGTGATCTTGTTGGATGTGTTTATGTAGTGTGGTGGTGAATTTTCAGAAATGAATGTGATTAATTGAATCGTTGAAGGAACTATCACACGGCATGCATAGCGATATCCTCTCTGACATTCTCACGAGCTGCGACAGCAACATGCACAAAAACTCTTCTGAATACATCTGATATTAATATTTATTGTGCTTACAATTATAGTGATATCTTACAAGGCAGCAACATCGTTCAACAAACCTACAATACGATTTAGCTTGAGGGTTGAGAGACAACGATTTTTCATACGATTTCCATCGGATTTTATAATATCAAACAAGATCAGAGGTATGATATTTTAAGATCTTACTATACTATTGGTTGACGTGGCTTTATATAGTCGAATGACATAGGAAACTCATTATGATCCAACTGTCGGATCTCTCTAAACTTGATCGGAGTCGATCGTAGATTCAATCATGTCGAATGAAATTGTCGCAGTTTTTTTTTATCAATATGACTTTATTCCTTTTAATAACTACCAAGTCATTGCTAATTAAACTTTTCAGCTTACGCTCTAGACTACAACATTGTTAATAATTTTCGTAATTGATAGAGACCTTAGAAAAAATCATCACATTCCTGAATAAACGTTGAAACTTCTGAATTGACATTCTTCTTCACATATGTATACTCACTTGCTATATCAACTATTTCAGATGGTAGTAAGTATTTATGGAAACAAGAAAATACCAACTTTTATATAAAAAAAAAGCAAACCGTATTTTGCTGTACTAATTCGCACATCTGTAAAAAAAAGTATAGATTTCTCAAGCAATTTTCTCAGTCGTATCTTATGGCAAAGTGAGCTCTAACTGGTGGAACTTGGTTGTAATTTCTAATTCTATCTTAATTAAAGTCTATTTGTTGCTTTCTATGATTTTTCTTATCTATGGCTATAGCTACAATATTCAGTGTAACAAATTCCTAAACACTCAGTCACAAATAGAAATAGACATACCACATGAATTTCTAGTTAACTGGAATTTTTGAATTCGATGATTGTTGAAATCACTCACAAATATGTTTCCAGTTGTGTCGAAAGCCATTGATTGTGGATAGTCCAATTGACTTGATGTTGCTCCACTATTACCAGAACATCCAACCAAGCATTTGAATCCATTTGGAATTGATCGGATGATTCGATGATTTTGACTTTCCACAATAAATAGATAACCATCACCATCGAGTACAATACTGGTAGGTCTATTAAGTATAAATCGCACCTTTGCTCCGTAACCAACCATTGTTATTCCGTTTTTTTGATCCGGTGCAAAGAATTGAATTCTGTTATTGTCTGTATCAGCTACGTATAAGTTGAATTGATTATCAACGAAAATTCCATGCGGATGATCAAGCATATTAGGCACAGGACCAGGACATCCTGTGCCAGCCACTACCAGCGATACAGTTTGCCCATTGTTGAGTGCCGTTTTAACAACACGATGATTTGTCATCGAAGCACAATACAAATGGTAATTGATGTCAACGAAAAGTCCTGTACACCAACCATGGACATTCATTGCAATCTCACTTTGCGTTGCGTTGAATGTCCATTTATCGACATGACCATTGTCATAACCATGGTCGACATAGATGTCACTATCGGTTGTGACAAAAAGACTCCATGGATTAGTCGAATTTGTCGAAATAATTCTTGTCGGAGTCGACGATGCATTGTTCCATACTAAAATCTGGCCACTTTCACGATTAGCGACATAGACGGCGTCTTCATCATTGATGAAAAGGCCAGCAGGTTTTTGTCCAACTAAATCCTTATCAGCAAATGTCACCGCATCTTCATTCCACGATGAACAAATGCTGAGATTAGGCCGATTGTATGAGACCACTAAAAAAGTAAGTACTAGTTTCTTAAGTACTGATGTTGAATAGGATGCTTCCGAACAGTTTTCATTATCATAGATTCCTGTGATTTCTCCGTTTAATGAAGATGTTTATTTTATCATTGAAGTGACTACAGCGTACTTCGCAGTATAGTTCTGTAAGAGTTGTTCTGATTGTTTTTCTCTATTTCTTACTTACAGTTGTAGACAACCGTTTATTAATTAACTAAAACTGACAACAACAGTCATTCTAGATGGTGGTTTACAGAAATGTCATAATATCCATAACTCAGGTATCAAGATTGACAACATGGCTGTTGGGATATTCATTTAAAAATCATGATATTGATATGCCGCTAAATAAACGATTTTAAATGACTATACTACAAGGAGGGAATGGATATCCGACTTGATAACTGATATATCTATTTTTTACGGTTTATGAAATCTTTCTAAACGTTTCTATAAATTTTCTAGAAAGTATAAATGAAAAGATATGTGACCTTCAAATACCACTCATGGCCGATTGATGAAATGGTTTATAGTATTTATAAACCCTTAAGCGGTTTGCTATTAAGTGAATAATTAAGTGAAAGAGTGTTGTCTGTGGTGGTAATGCTATTCCAATCAATTTTTCTTGTCAGAGAAGATGAGCTTTGCAAGAATATTTTTTTTATAGAAAGGTTGTCTAACAACATAAAACTTGGGATTGTGAAACCGAACAGAGTGCATTTCCAAAATGTCGAAGAACTATATACAAGTCTGAATTTCTCAATTCCTAAAACTTCTAGCCAAGTTTTATTTAAAAAACTCCTTACTTTAAGTAAGCTATACATCATTGAGAACTATTTAGGCTCAATATCAAGTCCATCCTTTCTCAAAACCGATTTGAGATCAAGTAAATTGAAATTGCATAATATGTTCAGGATATGTTTTGCTCTGTGATGAAGAGGATACTCTGAAAGCGTCAGTTCTATGCCATGTAGTTGTCGGCAGATATGTGTCAAACAAGAATCGAAAATAGCTCATCTGATCTTTCAGAAGTCTTTTTGGGGCTTCATTCTCCATGTTCAACTTCTTTTCCTTGCAAGAGCAAGTAACAGTGCAGCACCTGTCGAAGTCCCTTTTTTTAAGGAAGAAAGGCATAATGATTCGATACTTAAAACCTTCCAAAGATTAAGATTTCCTTTACTATTGTGGAGAGTCTTGGGGGTATCGAACAGTGATTCTTTTCCTGTTTAAAAAGAAAGTTAGCACACAAAAATGGGCTTCAACAAGCGCAACACTCTTACATACTCCTTCAAAAGAAGAGTTCAAAATATTGAATGACGGATCAGAAAAATTTTGGAAACTGAATGGTCTATTTTCAATTTTTGATTGATGGGATGCACGAAAACCTAACCGTTAACCCATAATCGTAGGTTAAATCTTCGTAGACTCAATGTATCGACTTGAAATTTTTACTGTGATATGTTTAGCTCAAGCTACATCCCCGCGGATAATATCATCAAGATTCAACACTTGAAAAAGAACTTCTTTTTTGAGTAGTCCCTTAAATGTTACAACTAGCGAACCAAGTTATGCGTGTCAACTATTTTTTATGAACATTAGTCTTTAGGTAGAACTACCTAAGGTTTATATTAGTTAAGTTGCATTAAAAACGGTCCATTGCAAAAATTATGCGTCTTTTGGGAAATTTCAAAGAACTCAGCGATTCAGCGAAGAAGAAGATGTGATTGTTGCACAAGTAAAGCGTTCTCTATTTGTTCAACAATAGATACTATGTGGGCGTGTATGAAGCTTAAGCAGTGATGCGATTTCTAAAATCGATTATATAGTAAATGTCAATGGGTTAGTAGAAATTGGTAGACATCTGTTCGTATTATAGATAAGACAAGAAAAATTAGTCTAGTTCAAAATCTTTTGACTGCAATACTTTTAGAAGGCATCCTGTGAAATCATTTCGGTTAGGAAAACGTGAAATCCTTTTATATGAAACTTATTATGTCTCGAAACCTTACTAGGGCTTCATTGATCTGTGCAATATCTTATAAGATATATCAAAGTTCTGTAGAATATCATAAGTTCAATAGTATACCTCTTTTTTCAGTGTATGTACAACATGATAAAGGCTTTTGATGAAAGTGAACAGTAATATATTCTAGTATTCTGAATAATAAATCATTCTGATGACAACGTAGAATAATCTACCTTTATGTACAGACTAATAAATATTTTTAATGGGAACTTCGAATAATAAATTGTTAAATATGCGTCACACACCCGTTTTATTTTACTATACTCTCACGGTTTAGAAACTTTGAAAGAGTTTATGAAAAATTTTGCAAAGTGCAACGATTGATTAATCTGCGAATTGTTTTTACAGTGTGCGTCTTATCTTGACATCACAAACTCATCGCATGAAAACTCACATATACGCTAATCCACGCCCACACTCAAACCCCCACTCTACTCGAAAGACATATAGGTATCTGAGATCCGTGAGTCGATCAAAAAAGCGCATCGCCTC